ATTGTGTTATTTAAAGGAAATTGGACTTGGATTTTAAAATCTCACACTGGTCGGGTTGCACTGAAAAAAAAATGGTTACCTAAATATGGTAAATGCACTGGTTTTAAGTCAAAAATATAATTTCATATAGCTGAATCAACCTAAATACATTAATTTATACCACCAAAACTACGTTTTATAGGTTAAATCGCGTAGATATTTAGTAGGATGCTAAAGAAAGGGAAAAAAATGCCAGCATTTAATAAAAATCAGTTTTTTCTTTTACTTTTTTTTTGACACCCATGTTTTAATCAAAATGTCATAACATCAGGCTTCTCTTTGGTGACATTTTCCAGACTTCTCAAATAATTTAGTCCACTTAAACCCTGTCTATCCATGTTTGACTGCAAGCTCGAATAAATTTTTCAGTGCAACGCCCACATCTCAAAATCCAATCAACCACTGTACCCACCCTATATTTTTTTTTCTTATTTTGTTAATCTATTGCTCTCAGATGTACATCAATAAACTGAAGAAAAGATCTGTCACTATTTCAGTTTCATCGTGACTTAAAACAATCCATAATAATAATAAACAAAAAATAATATTATATATTTTTTACAATTATTTAATATTAATAATCTTTTTCAAATATCATGCTGGTTGGGTTATTTTGTAGTAAATAACGATACAACAAAAAGTTTTTTTTGTAATAATTAAAAAAAAAAGATAAAAATATCTTGAATTTGTAAATATCATTAGGTTTTAGGGGAGTTGCACCACATGGCATTTTACAACCTGAACTAACCTTGTCATGCCATAAAAAGGTCAAATTATCTTTTCAAGAATTTCATTATTTTAATGAGGCTTGCCTGTGTGCGTATTTGCAGTTGAAGTCGCCCAACTTCATCTTGAAGGTCCAGGATTTTACCCTGAGCCCTTTCTCTGTCTGCCCTCTCCGATTTGAAGTCCTCAATATAGGCCAAAACCTACAAGAGAACAAGGAAGGCACTTGGTTTATGGGCAGCAAGCCAAACAAAACTACTTCTCACTTTTGTTGTGACAAAAATACAATGACTTTCTGTTTAAGAGGAATTCAGAATTTGCTAGTTGAACTGATAAAGACCTGCTGCTCAAGCATCTGAATGCGTTCCTGGTCTCTTCTTTTACTGTCATCCCTCTCTCTGCTGAGTCTCTCGCACTCCATCATTTTGTCCTGTAGGAGGCCATTGAGCCGCACTATCTCCTGCTGGAACAAAGGCATGCTGCCCGCAGCCGGAGTCTGGGTCAGGGTCGGACCTGCAGATGCCAGACCGTTTGACTCTTTCAACTTCTGACACAAACCCCTCACATACTCCTCTCTACTGGAGTCATACTTCTGCCACTTTGAGTTTAAACTTTCCACCTGAGATGGAACAAAGGCATGTATTTATGATGTGAACAGAAAAAAAAAGACATTTTCCAAGAATATTTTACATTGTTTCTTTCTATAAAAGGTACAGAGTGACATTTTCTGCAAATGAAACGGGTAAAACAAATGTCAGTGGGTGGTGATCAAACAATGGTTCCATCATGTGATCCTTACATATGCAACTCTCTTTTTAAGCTGGTCGTTCTCCTCTTCTAACTTGCTGCTGATGAGATTTAGATGAGGAATTTCAGGGGAATCATTTGTCTGATGAAGACACAAAAAGCAAGGTCAAATATAGTTGTTAAATAAAGTGTTTTAAAGGTGGTCCAGATGTTGTAGAATGCTGATAGCTTCCCAACACACCTCATTCGCTTGAGTTCTCTGATCCGTCAGGGCTGTCTTGCTTTTCTCTTTTTCCAGCCGCCCCAAAAGCTCCTGGCACACCTGCACGGTGGCCCCCAGCTGTGCCCTCAACTGCTCGGCTTCTTCAGCGAGAGAGTTGCAAAGGACGGCCCTGGTGGCCTGTGTCCGATCGATTTCGGCCAATGTTGAGCGCAGTCGCTGGATCTCCCTCTCTTTCTCCTGCTCGGGCCTTTCCCTGACGGTCTCCAGCTCTTGATCCTTCTCCTTCAACTTTTCGTGCAATCTCTGGATCTCCTGGAACAAGCAAACAGTCAGAAGACCCCTTCATGCCCATTTCCTGACAGGTGAACGTGAACAAGAAATTCACTTATCTCACCACAGCTCAAGCCTACACTGTTAAGTATTCATGTGTTAATGAACAAATGTATACTCGCAAATCTGCTGAAAAAAAAAACGCCCTGTAAATTAGTTTGCTCTTCTTAGTTAACCAGACTGGTCTGTTTTAAAAGGGTTTTGGGCACTTTTGGGAGACCATTTTAAACCAGCTAGGACCACCAAATCATTGTAGGCTGGATTAAGCTCTTTATTATTATTATTATTATTATTATTATTATTATTATTGTTTTCTTGATTACGGAATTCAAGTATTTTTACAAAGAAGATATACATTACAGCTTTACAGTGCTTTTGTTGGTAAAATGCTGAGGAAAAAAAATCAACTTGACATGTTGTTGTAGATAGAAGCAGGAAGATATATGAAAATTGTGTTTTAACTTACTGTTTTACTGGTTTCCAATTTCTGGGCGGTGTCCTCCTCTGACTCTTTGAGCTTTTGCTGTAATTTGCAAATTTCCTTACACAAACTCTCGATGAGAGATTTCGACGGCCCTACAATATAGGGCTCCTCTCCCTCTATGACCACTGTTTTCTCATAGTTCCCCAGTCTTGCCCTCAAATCGGCAATAATTCCGTTTTTGGAGGAGACCAATTCATTTAAACGAGCAATTTCTTGTTGTGTTTCGTGGTAAAATGTGTTGAGTGTAGAGTAGCTGCGCAACTTCGCCCTCAGCGCTTCGTTCTCCCTTTTTACCTCATCCATGCTGAACAATCCGCTCGCGCGTTAAAAGCAATACATAAAGTTCGATTTTCCCATAGATTGTACAGGTTTGAGTGTTATAGGCTGGCATGCGTCTGCTGTAGACCAAAGGCAGAAAGCTTCAGCTTGTGAGAGCCTCACTCAATTTCGAAATTATTTTATGAAGAGGGGATTTCCTTGCGGGGACTTCCCCATCTCAAATTGGGTATATTTTTTCTCGTACTTCACTTTAAACGTCGAAAAATAGTTCAGTAACAGCCCCTCTTTTGGCATCAAAAGAGTTAATTGTCGAGTCGTGTGGGGTTTAATTGTGATTTTACACATTTTAGAGACAGTTGCCGCTCTCCTCGGTGTGATATATCAGGTTTAGGAAGATCACAGTTCAGCTTGCGACGCGGCAAACAAGAGTACACGGCTTCCTTGATTGTCATAAAGTAAAGACAAAGTCCCTTAAGTAGCGTCAGTGTGTAAAGCGTGTGAAAGTAGCTGCCTGCTGAGCTTGGCTCACTAGCACAGGTGGATAACGGAAGACATATTTAGACAGATACAATTAAGCGAAGGCATGAATCTGATGAAAGTATTGGAAAATAAAACATTTTCCACATTTTTTAAAGGGATAGTCCACCTAAACATGAAGAATCATTTACTCACCCTCATGTCCTTCCAAATTTGTCGTCCTCCTTTCTGCAAAATGCAAAAAAAGATATTTGGAAGAATGTTGATTTCAGTTCCCTTGGACTTCCAATGTATTTTTTTGTCCTTACAATGAAAGTAAATGGAACCGGAACAGCTTGGTTACCAACATTCTTCAAAATACCTTCTTTTATGTTCCATAAAAGAAAGTCATACAAGTTTGGAATGACATGAGGGGGAGTAAATGATGACAGAATCTTTATTTTTGTGTTGCCTATCCCTTTAAATACAATTCTGGAACATTGCTTGGCTTATAATTAAAAATATATATATCCTGCAGATTTTAAACGTTATGCTTTTTTACCTCAAAACAGAGTTTGACGATGAATGTGTAGTGGTGCGAAATGAGTGCTGATATTCAGCATTCATATTGGGGTCTTATTGAGAACATGCAAAATTAGTAGGCTATTGTTTTGTTACCATATAATAATTTTATGGTACTATATGGCAAGCTAACTGGAAAATAGCATCTGACAATTTTACATTGTCTTTTTAAACTGGGGAAATTGGCAAATTCTTACACATAACATATTGCAGTCTCTAAAAAAACCCATTATTTAAATTATCTTGGCTCACACTGTCAATTGTCTAGACAATGCAAGCCAATGGCGCTTAGTCTGTTATCTGTAGATTGAACCATAAAACAGTTATTTTAATTATACAGTAATTAACAAACGTACAATGTCTAAACCTCCATTCTTAGCGTAAGGACTCTTTATCCCTCTGCCAAAAGCAGCACACGTGAAACGGCAAAAAGTCCCGCTCAGCATGCTTGTGTGAGTTCATGATTTTCTGCCTATAGGGAAACCCCACCACTGTTCTTTAAAGTTTGCCACCATCTTGTGGTATCAAAACAGCAATGACATGTGTTTGACAGACATGATATAGTACTTTTACGCACACAAACATAATTGTTGCAATATTCCCTTACTGCTGAAAGTGCTCTTTCATAGCTTGATGTTACACAACAGCCATTTCAGCTCTCTATACACGTTTTTATTGTTTAGGCATGCTTGTGCAAAGGTATGAACTAAATCTGTAAAATTATAGGCAATGAAGTTGGTAATTACTCTTGGATTGCATTAAGGCAACCCTTTCATTTTCGGAATGTATGGTGCTTGCATGCAACTTTTTAGCATCAAGAATTCTTGGGAAAAACAGCACTCCTGCAAGGCTTGATTTTTTATTTACTTTATTTATTTGAAAATGGTTAATACCAACAGTATAAATAAATGACTACAAAATCTCTCTATATAAAAAAAATACTGCACACAACTCCAGCTCCACAGATATTCAGTGATAAAAAGCAAATATTAAAAAAAGGAAAGTATAAAATCAAAATATCAATGTATGACTACAGTGCTTAATTTAAAGTTAAAAATTGACCGAGGTACCAGGTACCAACATTTATTTAATGGTTTATATTAATATTATATAGATTTCCTTACATACCCTCCTTTAAATATTTTCCTCAATAGAACATTCCCATTTTAATATATTCCTGGGATTTCCACTTGCAGATATCAGAGCATTGAGTCATAAAGTGACGTCTTAAACTGCTGCTAGGGCTCAGTGACATCAGGCATTAGGATGCCATTGAAAGGGTCGGTTGCACCATCATCACCGATATCCTGAGGAAAGTCTTCCTCGCTGTCACATTCTTGGCTGTCAGCCTCTGGCTGGCACTCAGCTGAGCGGCTTTCGCTGTCTGCTGCACTGTTTTTGGACTCAGTGCTTTCACTGCTGCTACTGCTGCTGCTGCTGCTATTGCTGGTACTGTACTCAGTACCGTCAACACTATAACTGTTTTCAGTGCTTTCACTTGTGTCGGCACTGTTATCCTCCTCCTTTGTGTTCAGAACAACCATTTCCTTGCTTTCACTTGATTCACTGCTTTTTTTTGATGCGTCACTAGTGGATTTGATGTCATTCTCTTCTGGCTGGCTGGTCGCTTGCACTTTGCCGTTGTTGTTAATATGGACCCATTTGAGGGTGTAGATCCAGCCCTGTGTAAACGCATTATGATGGTCATTATTCCTGTGTTACCATACATGTTGTATGATGCATGAAATTGGATGTTCCTTACCCTACGAACATTCTCTTTACTGCTTTGAGTGTTATCTGATGTCAGTGCAGTCTCGCTTTTTCCAGTCTAGATAGCCATAGATGACAGAAAACGTAGGACAGTAGGAAATCAATTTCTCTGCAATCTATATGCTTTAGAGTGTGAGTTTTAGGTTGTATTAGGGCAAAGTAACTTACCAGACTTTCGACAGAATGGCTTTCACTTGAAATCTTGAAACAGAAAATAGATATAAAAAAAAACATGGTAAGATATCTGCAGTCATATTCATCTGTTTAGTGATTTTGTAAATTTGTGAAAAGATGTTAAAAGTGATTATTAGTTATACCGGTTCATTTGAGTCATATTCAATTGATTCTGAACTCTGTCAAGAAAACAGAGAAAGTGAAGTGAGCCTATTTTCTTAACAGAAATATATTAAAATATTTTCTCATTAGATTTGTTATCATAACAGTCTTTGCACTTACATTGCTGTCGGAGACAGTTTCCTTAGACTTCTGCAAGCAAATAAATAAATGTTTTATTTGTACCTTTTTCTTTTTCATTAAAGACTATTAAAAATACAAAATACCATACGTATTTTTTACCAAAAAAAATTTTTTTTTTTATTTTAGAAATTTGGTACTACATACATGTATTTTCATATATAGTTGGATATTATTGGGGTAAGAAAATGAAAAGTTACAGTTCTCCTCACTGTAAAAAAATTCCACCTATACTTCAACTTAAACACTTAAGTTCAGTTGTTGCCTTAAATTTTTTTATAACTGCAAGTCCTTAAAAAAATGAAGTTAAATTGTTATTTTGATGTTTAAATTAATGAAAAAAATATTTTACCATGACTTAGTTCACTTTTTTTTTCTTTTTACAGGAAAACTGTCTTTTTTGGATAAACATTGAAAACATATATATATATACAGTTGTCCCTCCTTCTAGATACACATTTAAGTTTATTTTTGTATATATGACATGGAGTTTGATTGAAAGCGCACCTCTTCTGAAAGTTCTGAGGTATTACTCTGGTCGGAGGATTCAGACATTGAAGAGCTTTCCGACTGTGGAATATAAAAGATTATAAGAACAGCATTTACCTAAAACACTTTTAAACTTGACACAAAGTTTCTTTGAATAAACTGAGCATCGCTTACAGAGTTGGATGCATGTTGAATCATCTCCATAGTCTTTTTATGCAAGATCTGTGTGATAATTCAAGAAAGAAACATTGTCACTTTTTGAAATGTTTGGAAAGACAGAAGACCATTTAAAGTTTATCCTCTGCAGTACTCACTGGATTAGCATAGGCTGCTCCCAGCAGACAGAGAATCAGTATGGCAGGTTTCATTCTGAAATACAAAATCTGGAGAATAAAAATCCATATTATTTTTCAATGTAATTTAATTATGTTTTAACATTTCTTAAAACATTTCTGCTCAAAAATAATACATAGGGTAGGTATGAAAACCTTACCTTTCTCTTCTCTTAGTCCGAATGCAAAGTCCAAGAAAGCAGAAGAGATTAAATGAACGAGAGTACTTTACAGAGAGTGTTTATAGCTAAAGCTAAAGACTGGATTTAATGGTATGTCTAGAGAAAGTGCTATTTAACAGGCTGACTCTCCATTAAGGTAACAGCATCACTTCCTGCTCGCCAACACTCAGATTATTGTGGGGGCACATTAACTGGAGTTGGAATATACAAGAAAATGAGAGTGCCACATTAAAAATGTTTACATAATGCAATGACACACACTACAGTGCACGCTCACCCAAACTTCCTCTCCTGTACATGTCTATTTTAGGATGCTAAACTATAGGGTGTGCGGCCTCTAAATACTGAGTAAGAGTACTGTCTGATCCCACACTGGGACAGGAAATCCATAATGAGAGCATTCCAACACAGAGCATTTCTTTTTCATAGACAAGCAGTAATGTATATACCTTATTTAAATTCTGTATGATTATTATGAACCTTATGGCTATAAACTGTTGAAAACATCAAATGGCATCATACTTTTATGATAGCTTGCTTATATACATATTCCTATATTTACTTGTCCCCACACAGTTTTTTTTTTTTT